TTTTAAAATACCGAATGCAGCTATTTGAAAAAAGAAAACTGCTCCTATATAGGTTAACTTTTCTCACAGAGTAAGGTTCCATTTGTAATTGCTTTAAAACACTTCTGCAAACGTTGCAAATGTAATAAACCAATTTTATGGAAAAAGTACTAAATTAACTGTGAAAAGCGGCAGTAATCTTTGTAGAGTCAATCAAAATAGCACCTAATTAGAGATTATGATGTCATCATATTCTAAAAATAAACGTTTTGTTGCATATTTGACTGTTGAGTAGCGTGAAGTGTTGTATTATTACCATTTGCGTTCAAGCTTGCGGCGTACGATTTTAAAACGTACATTTCATGTTTTAAAACGTACGTTTGCCGTTTCAAAACATAAGTTTTGTCACGCCCCCTCATGTTTGGGTTATTTGTAAATACGGTTTTGAAATACTGAATGCAGCTATTTGAAAAAAGAAAACTGCGCCTATATAGGTTTACTTTTCTCACAGAGTAAGGTTCTAAGGTTTCGAACGAACTTCTTACGGTGAAGGGCAAACAGGCTGATGCTTTCCAAGATGGTAAAACGTACCTGTTTGACAAAGTCTGGGTAAGATTGGTCAAAGAAGAAATCCGAAGATGAATGTACAATAACTGAAACAGAGGACTTAAACGAAGATCTTCCTGCCGTTGATGTTGTGTCTACTGTGAAACAAGCAACGGTAGACATACTTGGAGTGACAAACACGTCAAAAACTACACGCTGTTGCTCCTGCTCAAAGACAGTTGTCATAACTGGCTTGTTGGCATTTTGTGACAACTGCAAGATGTCACAAAAACCAACACGCTGCACACCTCATTGGTACCTACGCCTTTTTGTCGAAATGGTTGGTGAACCAGCAAACAAACTCCGACTGACTTGCTTTTAATGATGTGGCAACGAAGTTCCTCGGCATTTGTAAAATTCCCCAAACGTCCTCAGAAGAGCAGCTCACTGTCGCAATTTTAAATTTGAACTCTGTCATCGTCACATGATTCTCAAAACAAACAAGTTAATTGATGTAGAGACTGTTGAAAAATTTATTTAGATATATTGTTATAGAAATTACACAGACTATATGGTACTTGTAATAAGACGATAATTGTTGCGTTCGATTATGTTAAGACTATCTGAACTTTATTAGTTTGTTTAAATTTTCTTACATTTATATTAATAAAGCTGCCAGTTTTCAGACATTTGCTTTGTGCTAGAAAGTTTTATTTGTTACTGTGTATAAGAACGGAATAAATTTCCCCCCATACACAAATAGCAAATAGAACACAACACACTATTTGTCATAAAAACTGGTTTGTTGTAAAGGCTTCTGGATTTTGTTGAAATTTAATTGTAATAAAAAATTACTTAAACATCCCATTGTTACTGTTCATAAATCACAATTTTACTCTACGTTTTACCATAGCCAAACCCAAAGTTGTCACTGAATACATTCAACATCAGCTTGAAACCTTGTTGCCCATTGCGCATTCAATGCTTTAAAATGCGTAACAGTAGAAGAATAGAGTTTTCGAAAGAGTACATGTTACTTAACTGGAGCGCGCATAATATTGTCTTTTGAGTAACAAATGTGTGACTAGGCCCATAGCTATCAGTTCAATACCATTTCTATCTTCGATTCGCCGCTTCTGTTTATATTTCAGCAATCGCAATTTAATTCCATGTCAAAAAACAAATTAAATTTAAAATACTATTGAGTAGCATACGTTTTTTGGCAGACTGATTTAAGCTTGCATCGTTCCTGGTAACGCGCAAATCCACTGAGAGGGTATATGTGCAACTAAACGTCCTCCCAGGCAGCATTTCACTTGCGATAGTAACCTCTAGTTATTATAATAATTGTTAACATAAACTAAAAAACAAATATCAACATTGTAAAACAAGTGTTGCCTTCAAGGCAAGCAGAATTCTGTTTGATTTTTATGTTATGATGTGCACCAATTTGGGCGTGGTATTGCTTTGATTGTTACTCCCCTTTTTGAGTGAGATCAATTGCCAGTTATATTCTAAATACAAGGTCTTACCTGTAAAGCTGTGATAGCCTACCAGATGTTTCATTTTTGCACATGAAGGCTTTCATTTTTGCACATGAAGGCAATAAAAAAGCTAACATTTCCTTGAGAACTCAGACTTATATCAATTGATTAAGAGACATATGGGTGATCATAGGTGTCTTAACTCGCCAAAAGAATCTTTACATGAACAATTAAATTAATTAATGGGTAGAAATTGAAATATCAATAGAAATATGTTACATAATTAATCATGTGACACATGTCACATGACTTATAAGTATTCTGGACACTTTATATTATAGTTGTTATATTCACATAGTAGCATGCTAGAGAAGACACAATAAAGCTTTTATGAAAACATAACATGGTGGCAGCGGTGTAAAGATATAATTAAAGGAGATCAAAGAAGCCAGATTAGGCTACTGAAATCTGGATCTGAAATCTAGAAATTAAGCCGAGAATTGGAGGACACATAAACAACGCTGGAAGAACTACATAATTGTGACACACAACCAGAAGAATATCGAGTCGCATTATTCCTATATTGCATAGGACAAGAAGTTGTAAAGTTTACAATAGTTTCGATTTAGTGCCTGAAGACGAACGCAAGTTAGTAAAGATTATTGATGAGTTTGATAAGTATGCGATTGGCCAAGTTAATGAAAGTATGAACGATACAACTTCAACAGCTGTGGTCAACAAGACGGGGAAACAATTGATGAGTATGTCGCCAAACTAAGAACATTGGCACAAACATGTGGTTTCTGTGTTTCCTTGCATGATTCACTTATTCGCGATAGGATTGTGCTGGGGGTGGCTGATGCTAGCACATGGAAACGACTGCTACAGCATTCGAAATCAACTTTACAAGAAAGCATTGAAATATGCCAAAGTTTTGAAGTGACCAATTCGCAGATTAGACAGATGGGCGAACAGAATAAATTAGACGAAGTAAACAAAGTGCAATCAATCAAATCGAGAACAAAGCAGGGCGGAGCAAGGAACAAAACAAAGTATGGTGAATCCAAACAAGAGTCATCACAATACAAAGCGTGTGGATATTGTGGAAAAAAGCATAAGTTTGGACGAGAATCGTGTCCAGCATGGGGTGAGACGTGTAATTCATGTGGAAAGCGGAATAATTTCCCAAAGCAATGCAGACAACACAGGAGAGACAATACGAACCAAGTGAAAGAAGCAGACTCGAGCTCCGACTGTGAGTATATTGATAGTGTGACTCTGAAACCAGAAAAGATAAGCTCGATTAATCAACAGTTATCGAAAGAAGTATATGCTAAAATGATTGTGAGAGGCAACCAAATTAAATTCCATGTCGATTGCAGGGCAACCGTAAACGTGTTACCAATGAAGTATTTAGTAGGTAAAAACATTCAACCAACAGATAGAACTCTACAGATGTGGAATAAGACAGGATTAAAGCCAAAGGAAACTTGCAGTCTTACAATAAGGAACCCAAAAAATGACAGGAAATATTCCGCGGAATTTATGGCAGTTCGAGAGAATTTGACACCATTATACTCCGGGGCTAAAGCGATTCAACGCATGGGAATTGTTGAAATACATAAAGAGAACTTTGAACAAATAGCCAAAGTGAATAGTTGTATCAATGACGCAACAGGTGCACAATCAACAATGACAGTTACGAACCAAATAATTGAAGAATTTGCGGACTTGTTCGAAGGAGATCTGGGTACGCTAGTGGGAGAACAACATCTAAAAGTGGATACAACCAACAGTACAACCAACGACAGCTCCATCAAGACGAGTGCCATTGGCCATAAAAGCAAAGGTGAAAGAGGAGTTAATGCAACTAATGAATCTTGGGGTTATACAACCAGTTGATGTGAACCCACTGACTGGGTCAGCAATATAGTTGTGACAACAAAACCATCTGGCAAATTACGCATCTGCATCTATCCCAAACAGCTGAACAAGGCCCTCAAACGTGAGAGGTATCCCATACAGTTATTGAAGATGTGATGCCAGATATAGCCAAAGCCAAAGTTTTTACAAAGGTGGACTCCCGGAATGGTTATTGGCATGTGATGTTGGACGAAGAGTCCAGTAGATTGACAATATCTGACACGCCGTTCAGGAGATATCGTTGGAAACAGTTACCCTTCGGGATCAGCGTTGCATCAGAGACCTTTCAGAAAAGGATCCATCAAGCCTTGGAACGGCTTGAAGGAGTGCTTGCCATACATGACAACATGGTCATATACAGAGTTGGTGACACTACTGCGACAGTTGGTGACAGACTTTCTCACAAGATAGGGAAACGGGAGTGAAGCTCAACAGAAGACAGTTGGAGTTATGCTGTACGGAAATTCCATTTATGGGTCATCTTGTAACATCTGAAAGGTTGAAAGCAGAGCCTTTCTGACTAGCAGTGCCAACACACAAGGAGAATTCGAAAGAATCAACGCACTCAAAGCCATTCCACTTTCTAAAGAGATAAAAGAACAGATCAAAAGAGATGCTGAGCACAATGATGTTCTAAAGAGACGCTGAGCACGATGATGAGGGTGGCCTGAGCAGAAGCAAGATCTACCAACCATGCTTCATCCATAATTACAGCTACAGAGATGAGCTTAGCGTGTACGATGGTCTGGTCTTCAAGGGAGAATGATTGGTCATTCCAAAGGGAACGCAACAGCAAAAGAAGCTTGATGTACATAAATCACATATTGGTGTAAATGGGTGTTTAAAGAGAGCTCGGGAATGCATGTTTTGGCCATAGTTCATAGGTCAGTGCGAGACGTTTCGAAGATATAAGACTCTACAACAGAAAGAAACACTGATGAGCCACTAGATAACAGAGCGACCATGGAGAAAAAGTGGGCGCTGACATTTTTACCATTGGTGACAACAACTACCGTATTGGTAGATTCTTACTCCGATTTCTGGGAGATAAACTGCCTCGAACATACCATGGCCGGTACATGTATTAGAAAAATAAAAGGTCATTTTGCCAGGAATGGAATTCCGGATATCCTTGTCAACAACAATGGTAGCCAGTTTGTCTCTGAGAGATTTGGAAACTTTGCAAATTTGTGCGGTTTCGAACATTGTGTAAGCAGCCCTGGACACCAGCAAGCCAATGGAAAGGCAGAATCTGCTGTAAAATCTGCAAAGAAGCTGATATGTAAGGCGGTTGAAACTGGAAATGATCCCTACCTGGCGATCTTGGCTCATAGAAATAAATTACCCCCACTGAAGAAGCGGAGTCCAGTCCAGCCCAGAGATTACTTGGTAGACAATGCAAAACCCTCCTACCGACCCACTACTGAGTTGCTCAGGCCGGAGAGGATTCCAAATACAAAGATCATGAAACAGAGGAAAGAACGAAACAAGCAAAATACTACAATGTTGGTGCTAAAGATCTGTTGCCTTCTGGAAGAGGGAGATACTGTGCAAATGCGGCCATTCAGACTTGGACAGAAATCGTGGGATCAAGCAACAGTTAAAGAAAGATATGATGAACGGTCATATGAGGTAGAGACTGATAGGGAAAATTACCGACGAAACAGAGTGGATATTAAGAAGACGATGGAGCAAAGTGAATGAGACCCAGCCAGAGATACTGGAAGTGTCAGGAAACGAGCGACATACCGTTCCAGCGATTAAGGGTAACAATGATAAGCAAAGAGTAACATACATGTTCAACGATGCAGCAACGGGCAGCTATGAAGATCAGTACAAAGCTCAAGATCCTCCGGTAGCACAATAATCACATAGACCAAGACGATTGAGAAAGAAACCCAGTAACTTGAAAGACTATGTCATGAACAAAATTATTAAAATTATCATCCTATTCATTAACTTTAACATTTTGAACTTAATAATTACAGTTCTATTATCATTCTTAAAAGAAAACTGAAAAAAAGAAGAAAACTGAAAAAAAGAACAACACTTCATAACCTACAATCTTATGCAAAATTAACGAGACACTACATACTCCCGCACCCTGTTTCAATGTTGGGTAGTGATGGTTTTCACTATTCGAGGTGTTAGTCTTCATTAACTGTTAAAATACAACATTGAGATAGGGGGAAGGGGGATCAACATTGAAAACTCATGGTGGCACATATTATATTGCATGGGATTGTCTATAGTATAGTAATAAAGGCGTGCCAGCACATTAACACACTATGTCAAGTATGTGATGAAAGTTATGACGCGTTGCAGTTCCAGCTAGAATTAGCGAGAAATGGGGAACAAGCGCAAGTCAAAATACACTAAAAAATTATGTAATGAACTAAAAAAGGAGAGGACAAAATACTTATAAGCCAGTGGTGCAAAAAGCCCAAACATAATGTTCACCAAACGTTTCACAGAGACAAAGGCAGACAAAACAAAACAGCTGAGTAAAGTGCAAGGATCCGGATGGCTATTGACTCTAAGACAAGAGCTTTGGTGTTTTATTTGGCCAAAATGAAAGGACTTTCCATCAGAAAAGTAGCAAAAGTATGCAACGTTTCAAGAGCAGCGTATGGAGGATTAGCAAAATGGGTATGAACGACCAGAAATGTGATAAAACACCAAAAGAACCAGGGGAAGACCACGGAAATTAAATGCGTGCCAGGAAAGAAAACTTCGGCGCTCCATTCAAACATTAAGACAGCGAGAGGGGAACTTCACAATCAAGAGACTAATGGAAAACTCTTGCATTTCCCAAATGATGTCTCGGAGAGTACGATTTCTCGATTTCTGAATAGAGAGGGTTATTACTACCTACAAGCTCGTAAAAAGGGACTTTTAACAAAGCAGACATGAAGAAAAGTAGAGTTTTTGCACACAGAATGAGAAACGAGTTTTTGGATGATATTTGGACAAAAACCATCGCATTTTATCTAGATGGCACGGGGTTTACCTATAAAAGAAATCCTTTGGATCAAGCTTTGTGTCCTAGAGCAAGAGTGTGGCGTAAAAAGAGTGAAGGACTAATGCAAGGATGCACCACAAAGGGAGCAAAACGGGCACTGGGGGACGAGTGGTGAAGCTTATGGTAGCTATCAGTTTCGCCAAAGGTGTGATCATATGCGAACCTTATGAGAAAATGAATGGCAGTTATTTTGCGACGTTTATTGACGAGAACTTCGAAACGATGTTTTCAATGGCAGATAAAGGGCCAAGACGACTGTGGATACAGGACGGAGACCCAAGTCAAAATTCAGCGATGGCTCGCGCAGCCATGCAACATGCGAACTGTGAACTTCGAAAAATCCCTCCAAGAAGCCCTGATCTCAACCCAATTGAAAATATTTTTAAATTAGTTTCAGATAGGTTGCGTGAACAAGCAATCAAATGCAAAATCACGAAGGAAACCTTCGAGGAATTCCAACTTAGATTGATATCTACAGTTAAATCTATTCCCGTAGACATAATAAACAATACAATAGCGTCAATGCCGAATCGCTTGGCAGAAATTATTAAGAAAAAAGGACAACGTTTGAAATATTAGATTCTAGAACTTAAGCTTACAAATACTCTTGTGACTTAAATCATTAATATTTACAAAAAGCCGATATTACTGCATATGATTATTATATACAATGTCCATGCATTGCAAGGACGAGGACAAGGTAACATTATACGCATGAGAGAATATAGACCGAATGTCCTTTATATATGTTTAAACCGTGGTAAATGTAACATAGGAGTGACAACATCGACTAATGTACATATATCATATGTTTGTAGAACGATTGACAGTGTATTATTGCCGATTCTATGCATCAATAAGCTACATTGATTTATGATTGGAACGTTATTTAATAATTAACGAGTTACCGAGACGGTTCACCATTTAAAAATTTCCAAAATGAGACAGTTCAAATGCACCAGAGCAACATTAATAGTGCAACATTTCAAGTATTCACTATCATACACCGGTTCATTTCCTTTTTCATAAAAAAAAGTACGAAATGACGGAGATTGAGGTACTGTACAACGGTGACCCGTTGTTCTGAAAGTAGAATGACATCATCATTCTATTTCAGTTTACAACGAGTCACCATGGTGGTCCGTTCTTTTTAGGTCTTTTAAAATGCACCAGAGAATTAAAAAGCCTACCGTATATTGAATGACATAATTGTCGTTTATCACAAAAAGAAACGCAAGTTAAAGATGCCAATAAAAGCATGAAATTTTGGTTTAAAAAAATGGTGACCCGTTCGCAGCACACTGCATGCACACGCGATTAGTCAATAGTAATTTAATACTCTAATTACATGTTATGCTGAAAGCAATATAATCACACAAATCTATCCTGCAATAGTCTGCGATCAATGCAGAATAAATTCAGCAAAGCATCGTGCGCATGGCTTCATTTTCACCTGCTCGTTTTCCGGAATTTGTGAAGAGAAACTAAAATGGCGCCATCTAACTCTCATCATCTCGGTCTCAACCAAATCCAATGCACCGCCACGCACGAAACTGAAGTGCTCTTTCGCCGTGCAGAATATGGGGGCATCCTTCTCAAAGACAATGTCTTGAGAATAATGCGTTTTCGGTGCTGGAAAACGTACCATCTGCCCTTCGAGCAACAATAACAGATTATGCCAGGGGATAATCTGCGCACACCATCGGAAGTCATTCAAAAATATGACTTCGCAACTCTCGACTCCAACCCAAGCAAAGCTTGTTGTAGCGGGATTGCTGAATGTGTCATAAATAACGCTCAGTGGATCAAGAATAAAAGTCTTTCCACAATTAGATGGCCCTGTTATTAGAACGTTCCGATATTTGCCCCTCCCTTGCTCGAGTATTAAATGTATAGCGCCCACAAACTCGGTCAAGTCGATGTTGTTTCGCATCAGTATATCTCGTGCAAGTTCCAGCCATCTCTTGTCGCAATTTGGGATGCACTCTCCTTGGAACGCAGCTTCGAGACGCTCCAAACAACTTTGTTGCAATCGCGCTAACAGTCTCGGTGCTTCGTTTAATTCCCATCCCACTCGGATTGCTTCATCGACCGTTTTGGCACCTCTATTTGCTATAAATTGAGCCAAGTCGGTTTTACCTTCCCTTTGCTGTTGCTGGGCAAACGCTAGAAGCTGAAGACGAGACCTAATTTTTTTGCTTACCACCAGTTGGGAAACTTCGTAGACACTCATTTGACGTTTACGCCCTTTTCCCTTCGTACTTCGTCCCGTTGTTCGACCTGTTGCTCCTCTGCGTACAGCCTCGGTTGCTCGTGTGGTTTGAGGAGGTTGAGCGTTAGTAAGATCGGGATGACCCTCGGATTGAATATACTCTATATCTTCTTTTGTCGTGTAACTCCAAGCCGAAAAGTAATTGTCATGACGATTAGAAAAGTTAACATTAATACCGTGCTGCGCCAGAATATAATTCCTTACTCTTAACCATCTATGCCTTTCCAACAATTTCACGGTCATGTGAAAATGAAATCCGGATTCTGCATGGTCTTCTTTGGCACATACCCATTGAATAACTTGCATATTACAAGATGTGAATGCATTCTGAATTACAGTCGCGAAACTTTCACGCGTTGGACACAAATCGACATTCACTTGACTATACGTAATTAAATAAACACGTCTGACTTGGCGACTACGAAACGATTCGTTTTGCATTATGTGTGTATAGTTTTTGATTAAATGGATGTTTTTAAAATACACACGTCTCTGTATTACGTTACTATCTGCTTAACAAGTTGCTAGCCGGTCATGCTTACTTTAGTGCTTATGTCAGTTAGCAAATTACTTCACAATTTTCGTTAATTAAGGGCCCGTTAAGCAATTTTTATGTCATGCCTATGTTTTTTACCAACAAACATGCATTTTATTGCCACATATATAAAATTGTACCATTAATATAATACTTCAACAAATGTAATAATTTTTCATCGTGTTCCGTTACATTTCTCTACGTTTAATCGTGATAAAAGAACTTGACAAAGTGGTAGTCTATTAAAAACTGTACTTATTAATCGTCTGCATTCCAAACATTCCCGCTCAAGACAATCTTATGCAAAATTAACGAGACACTACATACTCCCGCACCCTGTTTCAATGTTGGGTAGTGATGGTTTTCACTATTCGAGGTGTTAGTCTTCATTAACTGTTAAAATACAACATTGAGATAGGGGGAAGGGGGATCAACATTGAAAACTCATGGTGGCACATATTATATTGCATGGGATTGTAGGTAGTTTTAGTATATTCATTATCTAGCTTTTATATAAGAGAAAGAAAGGATGTTACATAATTGATCATGTGACACATGTCACATGACTTTGTATATAAGTATTTTGGACACTTTATATTATAGTTGTTATATTCACATAGTAGCATGCTAGAGAAGACACAATAAAGCTTTTATGAAAACATAACAAAATAACTCTATAGCAATTAACCTGCATAAAGTTTGCATACAGTTCACACAAGTGGGGGGCAGCAGGGACAGGCGGTCGTGGTTGACCGGAAGTCATTGAACACCCGCACCCATTTCTGCCTACGGCTTATTATACTATCGCAGAACCTCCAACTTGGTTCCTGCCGTACTAATACGCATTCAAACCTCGATTCAGGGGACTGTATCTT